CAAAATGCAGGGTCTTTATATTTTTGCAAGTAAGGATTTAGTTTTATATTGTATGTGTGTATATAAATTTTTTATGTTTGAATGTATGTGCCATTAAATGCTCATGTTTTGGACCTTTCTTTTTCGAGATTACTTGGTTTATAGGGCGATTTCACTTGCCAAATTCAGTTCATTACTGAAGAGATAACAGCTGTAGTAAATTTCACTTTAATTCAGAAAATAACTGGGTTTAAATTTGAGGAAAGCACTGAGTATCCTGGATTTTTAATGTTTCCCCTCGATCCATACATCAAATGCCAGAAGAGTATTATGAGATTGCCACGTTCTGTAATTCTTTCAATTGCACTGTATTTTAACATGTCTTTTGATGCTTCCACCCTAGTAGGTTTTGCAGCAATGTTAATTTTTATGGAACTGTCTTTGATAAGTGACGTGATGTTGAAAGAGTAATTGTAGCTGTCTTCACTGTATTGTATTGTCTTGTCATTTAAATATGATGTTGCAGTTCGCAGTGGAGGGGAGCCAAGAAATGGTTTCCAGATTATGAATTTACTAAGATGTTAGAAGGTCAATTGATGTATCCAGATGAAAGGACACATATGTGGCCGATGCCACCATGGAATCACAAGCTTGCTCCCATCGAGAAGAAAGTTAACAATATTACTCTTAACTTTGGTCCTCAACATCCAGCCGCTCATGGTGTCCTGCGGCTTGTGCTTGAACTCGATGGCGAGGTATAAACATTTATGTGTTTCAGGATTGTGTCTTATGTTTTCTGAAGGAACTCATAAAGACTGTGTGTGTCTGCTTTTCCTCATTCAGTTAGCACATCAATATATGTAGCCATTACCAAATTTCCTACTTCCAGGACACAGCATGGACAGCAGAGTCTAGGTGAGTGAAGACAGCTCAGAACTCACAGCATAACAAAGCTAGAAACATAATACTGGTGATTTGCAGTAACACGATACAGGGGGTAAAGTTTTTCCATGGCCTTGAAGTGTGGAGTTTGGGGACAGCTACTATAGGAACTTAGTCACTCTCTCTTAATAAATATGTGATCTTGCTTCACTGTGTTTCAGACTGTATTGCGGTCTGATCCTCATATCGGCCTTCTGCACCGAGGTACAGAGAAGCTGATCGAGTACAAGACATACACGCAGGCTCTACCGTACTTTGATCGCCTAGACTATGTGTCAATGATGTGTAATGAGCAGTGCTACTCTCTGGCTGTGGAAAAACTTCTCAACATTGATATTCCAAAGAGGGCAAAATACATTAGGAGTAAGTGTTAGTCCTTCACTTTAATTTATTCCATAAAGTATGTATAATAAATTGGGTGGTTGACTAACCAACCCTTACATTTCTGATCCCAGTTTTCTTAATCTGCTGGCACCCCCCGTACCTTCCATGATGTACAGTTTTCTTGGTTTAAACTTACTTCCGGCATTTAAAGATACTTTGTATTTTGCCGTATGTTGTCTGCCTACGGAACAAGTCATCATCTCTAGGTTGGCTGATACGTCAGCTCCGCCAAAATTGCTGGCTCCCTGCCAAGAAGGATCAACTCACAAATGGAGATTCTATGTCAGGACTCCTGTATATGGCTTCTGCCATTTCTCTTTGATTTCCTATGTTCCAAGGCAGAAAAGTCACCATCAACAGAGCCCCATACACGTGGAAGGCATGGTGCCCCAAAGGGATTGTGAATGGCACTGCTGTTACCACCCCAGTGTCATGCAACCTGCGGCACAGTACCTTGCGCCTTTGATTCGGTGCGCTACACCCCCGTTTGCGTCGAAAGATGTTTTCCCTCCGTGATGATTCTAAGGGTTTGGATTTTGGAGGGGAACATCAGGGAGCTTTCGGAACTTTTGCCGTGTATGACCACGTAGGATTTGAGGTTTTCACGGCGGTGAACCACTTAATGGTACCTGCACCTTGTGATGGTGGTGTGTTTGAGTACCTCAGTGACCCCAAGAGCTACTGGTAGGGCCTCCCTAGCCAGATTGGTCGAGGGGGAGAGGTCAGACTAAGACAGGTACCCTGGTCCTCCAGGTTCGGGGTAGGTCGCAAGGCTAACAACCTCGCACCGTAAAAAGGAAGATGTTTCGAAACCTCAATCAAAGCCTCAGACAGACGGACCTAACAGAGGACCGAATGGAAGAGGAGAATTGAGGAGGCCATGGACCGAATACGGACCGGAGAGCCACAGAAGAAGAAAAAGAATCTGTCGAAGACAGCCGTCTTCATTTATGACCACGCTGTTTTCACTTGTTTTATCATAGATTCCCCCTTGCATAATGGGGCTAATTATGACTGCATTATTTAGTTTCCTGATTTGAATGTTTAAGAGTTTGAGTGTGTAAGATTTTATCTCCCTAGATCAGCTTTGAATGCAGTTAAACTGCCACATTATTTGCAAGAATTAAAATTTGTATCACAGTGTTGAAAGTACGAGGAACTTAAAAGTACGCAGTTAAACACAATAATTGTGTGTTGCAAATAAATCTGCATTACAAAATGTAGGTAACTTATTACCATGACGTTGTTACAGCATTGTTTGCGGAGATAACTCGAATTTTGAATCACATCATGGCTATCGGTACTCACGCGTTGGATATTGGCGCGTTGACACCGTTCTTCTGGTTGTTTGAGGAGCGTGAGAAGATGATGGAGTTTTATGAGCGAGTGTCTGGAGCAAGAATGCATGCCGCGTATATTCGTCCAGGTGGCGTAAACCAGGTGAGCATGGCAGACTTGGATCTTCTGTTATTGATTTTACATTTGTAGTTCAGCTTGTAAGATTATTTCAAATGATCTCCTGAGTTTTTAATTAGCTTGTATGTATTACATTTTATTGTTAAAAACACCTGGTATGGTTACCACCGTTTCAGAAGTACCTGCTGCTTCCATCATCAGCACCAGTGATTGACCTGATGGTGGAGGCAGCAGGTATCTCTACCAGAAAATGTGATGCTACAACCCAGAAGACAGCCATCTTTACACTTACAGCCCATATTTGTTATGTGTGTAGAAGTGAAAAATCTTGTTATTATGGATAACTGGTGATTATATATAATTCTTGAACCTATTTTGTAGGTGATTATGTGTAATCACCAGTTATAGTTCATAATAACTGGATTATTTACTTGTTCCTTAATATACTACTAAATAAATGTGTGCGTGTGCATCAAATTTTGCCAAAGACTCGCCAAAACGGCTACGGAAACCTATGAAATGCTAAAGCAAGCATTTGGGGAGTCCGCAATGGGTCGTGCACAAACTTTTGTGTGGCATTCACGTTTTAAAAATGGCCGAACCTCTGTCGATGATGACGAGCGTTCTGGACGACCATCTTCGAGCACAACGCCCGAAAATGTTACGAAGATCGACGTCGTACCATCAACGACTTGTGCGACATTGTTGGGATAGGCTATGGGACCTGTCAGCTGATTCTAAAGGAAGAACTCCACATGCGACGCATCATGACAACGCACCAGCGCACACCGCCTTCAAAGTTCGGCAGTTTTTGGCCTCAGACACCATGGCCGTCATCCCACACCATCCTTATTCGTCGTGTGACTTCTTCCTCTTCCCAAAGATGAAAATTCAGCTCAAGGGAAGGAGATTTGAGACGATAGAAGAGATTCAGGCAGAATCGCAGATGGTGCTTGACAGGCTGACAAAGAAAGATTTCCAGGGATGCTTCCAGGCTTGGCAGCAGCGCTGGGATCGTTGTGTTCACTCCCAGGGGAACTACTTCGAGGGTGTTGGATGAATTTAATACCTGAGATAAGTGTACGGGTTTTTATAGGCGCAGTCTGGAAACTTTCCGATCGCACGTCGTATGCATGTGAATATGGTTTCTCACTGACAGGTTTTTCATAGTTTGTACCAGTATCCAAAAATAGTTCATAACCACTTCCCACTTTCATACCTATTCATATGTTCCGTTTCTCGTATATTGCCGTGTAACGTCCGTAGTTACGAAATTCAGCAAGATTAAATGACTCTTTCATTGTTTGTAAACGCACGTCATTGCCGTATGTTGAATATTAGTCTTAGATGTAAGTGTTTCATAACTGAAAATAAGTGAATTTGAGCCCCAGAAGTATACGAGTATGATTTTTCTAAATTTACACTGAATTGGTAGTTCAGTTTTGTGTCTTATCATTTTGTCTTTTGCTGTTGTGCAGGATCTGCCACTTGGACTGTTGGATGACATTTATGAGTTTTCCAGCAAATTTGGAGAGCGTTTGGATGAAGTAGAGGATCTGCTGACGACTAACCGAATCTGGATCCAGCGTACTGCTGATATTGGTGTTGTGTCTGCTGAGGAAGCCCTCAACTATGGCTTCAGGTGAATTTGATGGACTGATGGAACAATATTTCAGAATAATGCGAAAATCACACATTATGCTTATCGGTTCGTAAAATATTAGCGTCAGTGATACTTCTTTTCAATGCTCTGGTCTCTTTTTCACACAGGATGTAGATTCAAGGCTGCCGGTGAATCTGCTTGGTTCATTGCGTCCCTTAGGATTGTAATAGACTTGTAACCACTGTAATCCATTCCAAATTCTGCCCCTGTTAGAGAGGAAAGCAGAATGGAGCATCTTAAGAAGTTTTTCAAGTAGCCAAGCAATAACTTAAGCAGGAAAACATCTTAAAAGGGCAGGCTTAAAAATGTGTACAGAATTAATTTTATTCCTTGTAGGAAAATAATGGAATAAATAGTAATTATTTTATTAATACTGGGATACTGGGAACAACCCGTTCTTCAAGTGCCTGAGCACTGCGGGACCCAACTTTTCATTGGTTTTGATCTGTAGACATTCGGTAGGACTCCTTGGACGAGGGATCGGCCCATCGCAAGGCCTCTACCTGTACACAGGACAGCACAACACAGAAAAACGCGGACAAACATCCATGGCTTGAGTGGGATTCGAACCCACGGTCCCAGCGACCGAGCGGCACGTGGCCCACGCCTCAGACCGTCCGGCCACTGCGGACCCCCTTTATTAATACTTAAATTTTGAAATGTAAAGTGTTTATTGAAGAGAACAGAATATGCCTACAGATGTTCCCGTGTTGTGCAAGACTTGACTTATGCAGATTGTTCTATGAGGCGCACATACCCTGTACCCTTGCCAGCTGTTAACGAGCCCAGCGATGTACTGCCTGTCTTCTCTCCTTTCTCATATTCAAATTAATTAATTTTTCTTGTTTTAATGTTTTTTCCTGCAAAGCGCAGATGTGCACAAACACACACACATGCAATCGTATTGCAGTGACGATTTTGACTTTTGCAAAATTCAGGTTATACTCGACCTTCAGGAATAGAATGATTGTATAAGATGGGGATTATCTGAATGTACTGTATACTTACGTGACCCAATACAAAATTATTACACTGAATAAATCGCTAAAAATACCTATTAAATACACATGCATGTTCCTGCTATGTTTAAATCATGAGTGTCTTCTGAAAAGAAAGAAAGAAAAAGTATCCAGAATTTATTTTACTTTTCTTTTTTTAAATATTTTACCGAGTCTAGTCTCCCAGAACGCTGGCCTTGTAATCCTGGGGTCTCGGGTTTGATTCCCAGCGGTGCCCGAATTTATAACTTGTGTTGGGCAAGGCCGTGGTCTAGGCATCACGGAATTTTCCTCTGGGGTTTCCCCGGTTTCTCCGCGGCATCTCAACAATTACTCCACTTTCATCATCATCATCTCGCAAAAAGGGGGTCACAGCAGGAGCGTTAAATATCGCAGTCCCGTTCGAACCCATGTACTGATGGGTCGTGAATCCTGCTAACCACCAATGCACACCATGCTGAATGGTGTGTACTGGATACGAAAAAAAAATACATATTGCGTCGATGCTCGCATCTTATTAACCCTTCAACATGTACGCCTCTTTTGAAGAAAGATATGAACTAATGTTATCGACTGTTCCAAAACTTATGACTGGATTCCATGGCAGTTTTTCTTACAAGTTTTAGTTTGTAGATAGGTTCAATACCGTAATGTTTCAATTGTTTCAGCGGAGTCATGTTGCGCGGCTCTGGAATTAAATGGGATCTGCGTAAGGCACAGCCGTATGATGCGTATGATGAAATGGAGTTTGATGTTCCTATTGGTGTCAAAGGAGACTGTTATGACAGGTGAGGTGGTCGACTGCACTGTCGCACATATTTACACTGGTAATTTGTTTTCTCAGCAAATTAATTTTAAAACCCTGCTCTTGTGAGGGCAGAATTATATCGATTTATCCTGTAAGGATAAACAGTAAAGTAAAGTTTGTCCCACTAAACGCCATGTAGGCAGCTTGGGGTGAGAGGAGGTATAGCTCCTCTCTTCCTTGACCTCGGCACTAGATGGGGGTGAGTGGTCAGCATCACGCCCCGGCCGGCTTTACCCCCGGGAAAGGACCCCCGGTACCCATTGTAGAGGAGGCTGGGTGGGCCCCAGAGCCGGTCTGGACGCAGAGGCTAGAGGAAAAATCCTCTGCCCCCATCGGGGATCGAACCCCGGTCGTCCAGCCCGTAGCTAGTCACTATACTGACTGAGCTATCCCGGCTCACAAGGATAAACAGTGCAGATACAAAAATTTTATTGTTGATTTTAACTCATTATGCTCGCTGTATTTACCAATTTAGGAAATGATCTTGGCTACGAAACAACCTCTTCCCTCCCACCCCGTTTTCCTGTGGAAAAATTTAATGATAAAAAATATTGATAACTTTAAAAACTGTCTCTGGCTCTCCTGAAACTGTCATGGAGAATGCAGTTAAAATTTCAGTGTAAGCCATTTGCGTTCTTCCTGTGTCTGATCATGAGCCGGGATAGCTCGGTCAGTATAGTGACTAGCTACGGGCTGGACGACCGGGGTTCGATCCCCGATGGGGGCAGAGGATTTTTCCTCTAGCCTCTGCGTCCAGACCGGCTCTGGGGCCCACCCAGCCTCCTCTACAATGGGTACCGGGGCCCTTTCCCGGGGGTAAAGCCGGGGCGTGATGCCGACCACTCACCCCACTTTACTCACTGTGTCTGATCATCTGATGGTTACTAGCAGAGGTTCATCCTTGGTTCCTCGAAAATAAAAAGAACTGTGTGATTGTCATCGTAATACTACCCCGTGTCTCCTCTCTCTGTAGGATATGGAACGTTAGGTAGAAATTTCAAGAATGCTTATGGGCACTGTTTTAGGTACCTGTGCCGTGTAGAAGAGATGCGACAGTCTTTAAAGATCATCGAGCAGTGCCTGAACAAAATGCCACCAGGAGAGATTAAAACCGACGACATGAAAGTCTCACCTCCGTCACGCGCCGAGATGAAGGTATGACAGGTGATGGTTGATGCTTATCGTGGTAGCAGCGCGGTTTCTAAAGCCGCGAATTTCAATGCGACTCGAATGTTTTATGTTCTACTTACGTCTTTATGCATGTGATTTTGAAGAGCTGAAGTTCGGAGTTAAGGCGCCTTAGAAGCGGTCGCTGTCGGCACGGCGTGTTTTCCGTAATCGCGTAATTCTTTTCTGTGCAGACGTCAATGGAAGCTCTTATCCACCACTTCAAGCTCTTCACCCAAGGGTACACGGTTCCAGCTGGATCTACCTACACAGCCATAGAGGCTCCGAAAGGTCAGTGCTGTTTTTTGAAACTACGGTAAAACTTCATTAATCAAAGTGCATGGGATCAGAAAGTACAAACTTCAAATCGAATGAACGTGAAATACGTGGTTTTTACTGCAGATTTACGTTTGAACCGTAGGAATTGATGCATGCTTGTGGCAGATGAGATTCTATTTAAGTTCTTTTACAAGTCGATGAATCACAGTTTCCAACCTTGCAGAATTTATAACTTTGTATAACACCGCAGTGCTTCGTCGTCGTATTTGCCGAGTTCTGTCACATCCATTCGGTGTCGTTACTTCTGCGCTGTGCTCATGATTGGTTATGTGTTATTTAAACAGGTGAATTTGGTGTGTACCTTGTGTCAGATGGCAGTTCAAGGCCATATAGGTGCAAAATAAAGGCACCTGGGTTCGCCCACCTCGCCGCCCTCGACAAACTTGGCAGGTTTCACATGTTAGCAGACATCGTCGCTATCATCGGTAAGTAATGTCCGATATACACCCGGCTCCTTACCTTTTAGGATATCGTACTTATTTTGTAAGGAAAGAAAATTGTACGTCGTTATATAAATAAGCGGATCTCGGAGAAATGTGTTTTGAAAATGGGCCAAGTCGTGAATGAGGCGAAGCACATCTTTGAGATGCGGGGTTTGAAGATGTGATCTACGTTGAACTCGCTGTGGGATTTGGTACACTGATTGGATCTTGCCTTCGTGGTACTGAACCCTCGGCTTCCTTGACGCGGACAGCAAAACAACTGTTAAATGTACAAATAAGAGTCTCTTTTATTGTCATCAGGGAATATATTCTGTCTGACTAAGATGTGTTTGCATTTGCAGGAACTCTGGATGTCGTGTTCGGCGAGATAGATCGTTAACTAAGAACTGTAGTCTGAGAAATCGTTTTATGCTTTATTTTCTGGATGTTAATGCTTTGTTGTAGCTGTACGAAACCATTGTAAATATTAAGATAAAAACAATACTTCAACAATTGTACGGATCACTCAATGTGTTCGGTAGATCCCGAGGATTCAAACTTTCCCGATCCCTTGTTAAAACCAACTTCTCTAGCTTGTGTGGTTATCCTACGCAAATTAAACTCTTAAATGGGTGGTTGTATCACAAATGAGATAACTTTCATAGTGCACTGCCTCCTTCTTCTTCCATTTCTAAACCGTTACTTCGGTCTTCCGGTGCCTAATATTTTCTTCCATTCTTCTCTATTTTCCCATCCTTCCGGAGGTAGTTTCGACTCTTATCATGATTCTTGTAATTCCGTCGTTCCATCCTGGTCTCGGTCTTCCTCTCTTCGTTCTCTCTTTTGGTTGCCATTTCATAGTCATTTTTGGTAACGTTTCCTCCTCCATCCTTTGCGCGTGTCCGTACCAGATCAGTTGTCTTTTCTCTATCTCCTCGATTATATCTCGATCCATCCTCATGATTTCTCTGATCCTTTCGTTCCTCACTGTCTCTCTTCTGGATATTCCAGCCGCTCTTCTTAAGAAATCCATTTCCATTATTCTCAACTTATTTTTGTGTTCCGAGAGTTGCCATATTTCTGCCTTAATCTCAAAAATTGTCTGGGCCGAAGTATTCCCATAGCTGATACAATTATATTGCGGATTATCAATCTTTTCTAGGTGTAGGGCTGCATTTGACTTGTGGTCTGCAAGGTTTTGGATGAGGGCAGTTTATTAAAAATGCTACTAAATTAGACTTACTATTTCAACAGATCGCATATTACTCGGTAATTTTCTTTAGCGAAATCAGTCGTCATTGAGACGCGATGCTGTTTGTGCTCCAGTAACGTGTCAGTATGAAGTTTAATTTCTGTTTATTGCAATTCTCATGCGCGGCTCCAAGTGTTTATCAGTAAGACGCCTAGTCCGAAGACGGCTGTCTTCTGGGTCGTTGCGCTGCGTAGTCTGGTAGAAGATTACTGACGTTTAAGAGGTCCTTGCGTCCTCCGTCATCAGGACGGCTCTGATGATGGAGGACGCAAGGACCTCTTAAGCTTCTACCGGACTACGCAGCGCAACGACCCAGAAGACAGCCGTCTTCGGACTCACCGCCACGAAAACCTCAGATCCTACACCTAGTTCTTCGTTAAGATGATTTCTTCATAAAGTTTTCATCGATAATATATTGGACACGTCTGTTGTCTGGAGGTTTTTTTGATTATATCCGTCGATACTGTTCTCGTCTTGAAGTGACGCTGGTCCTATTTTTTTATTTTAATTTTTAATGTTGGTAGCTGCTGTCTGATCACTAACGTAGGTGGTTTAGTATTCGATAAGATCTGGGTTTGATCCTGTCTACGGCCACTAATGCAAAGAATAATAATAAGTCACCTGAAAATGGAAGTCAAACTGAGTCCAAAATGTCATCGGACTGTTTCCGACTTAACCGCGATAAGAGAAACGTTAATAACTTGTGCAGTTTCCTGGTATTGTTAGGGTAGTCGTAAGGGGGTGGAAGTGTACTTCCAAAACTGGAGACGGGAAATAACGCGCAGAATTTTGGTGGGGAATTCTTTTGGAGGGCATCTGCTCGGAAGACTGAGGGTGGACTAACGTTAAAATTTATATTTGATAATTTTTTTGGTGATCTGTACCGACTCGTTCTGTCGCCAGAGATTGAATACCGTAATGACCCAGCGTTCTGGCTTCTTGCTTGAATAATTATTGAAGATAAGTTGAAGATTCTGATGAAGGCTGTCGGTATGTCATTTAATTAAATGAATTTGAATTAATGTAAACACGTACGATTATAATATTACAAATTCTTAATAAAGTGTTTATCTAGGTTGAATTTTGAACTCGTAAGGTAATTGAGAATAATTGAAATTCATTTAACTTTATTTAATAACAGAGTGATAAGCTTTTATCAAAATTTCCTTTAAATTACATTGACTAGTTTTTGTATTAATTTAGAGGCATTTATAAGACAGTAGACAATAATTTTTTTTGGCAGAAATTCGTAAATACGGGGTTTTGAGTCCTGATGAAAGTCGAACATTTGACAGAACACAATTGAATTGGCTTCATCATTTGTTGTGACTTTATCAAAACAACAGAGATCAGGATATTTTATTTTTATTTATTTAGTGTTCTGTCTGACGACAGGTCCATATGAACAGGATCCTTCCATCCTTTTCTCGGACTGGGACCTGTTCATATACGTTCTTGGCAGATGATACAGAAGTGGTTTGCCATTGCCTTCTTCTGTGTGTGAATGGAGTAATTGTTGGGATGCCACGGAGGAAAACTCCGTGTTGCCTACACCACGGCCTTGCCCAACACAAGTTATAAATTCGGGCACCGCCGGGAATCGAACCCGAGACCCCAGGATAACAAGGCCAGCGTTCTATCCGTCTGATGTCTTGTATGGTTTTGAAATCTGGTCTCTTACCTTGAAGGAAGATCGTAGGTTACAGGTGTTTGAAAACGGTGTTCAGGAAGATATTTGGACGTAAGAAGGGTGAAATGCGTGGGGAATTTAGAATATTGCATAACGAGGATAGTGAAATCTAGGAGGCTCCGTTGGGCTGGACACGTAGCACGCATGGGAGGGAGGAAAGGAGTGCACACAGAATTTTTGGTGGGAAATCGACCACTGGTGTTGGACCTGTGGATTCTGCTACCAGGGAGTTACTTAAATGTGGCTTAGCACATTTTTAAGGTTTACAGAAGTACTGAAAGCAGAATCAGTTTGGGAGTGGCACCCTTGAAGCGTCACTTCAGAGGCAACAGAGCATTTTATGACACTTGTCATAGAAAATAATGCGTTATGTAACCAGCTGTGATGACGCTCACTGCAATTATATGACCTTCGATTCTACTAGTGCTAAATAACGAGTGGAAGATTATGGTCCTACCGACGTGGACTTACGAGTTTAAACGAGTTCTTCAATACTTTAATTTTGAATTTTAGTGCAGATTACAGATACCGTGATGCACAAGGATCGGAAATTATTTTTTTTTGGTATTTATTTAAATATGGTATTCGCCGTATTGAATAATTTTTTAACAGAAAACTTTTAAGATTTTAATAATGTCTACGGGCGAAGCAGGCAATTACGTTTTTTTAAAACAATGAACAGCTCAGTAATATTTGAATTACATTTATTTTAGTCGTGTAGAACGCAACTAAGTTTTGAGTTTGGTCTGTTGTTTACACCGAAAGCCTTGTTCCGGTTTTGGGAATGTTTAAATTCGATGTTTTATTTACGACTAAAAATCACGTTAATTATCGGAATCGGCGTTGAATAAGATTTTTACTTTTCGTATTTCGACCCGAAACGTCTCTTCGATTGGTCGGACGTTACAACACATTTTCATGTATTTCTTGACGGTAATCTAAACTGTATGGTCTGAAACGGTTCTGTCTTATATTTGTACGCTGTGTTTTTAAGTGTACAGACCGACAGGCACGAGATTCACATTAGGCGTTCTTTTCATGCGTGCAACCAAATTATAGAATTTTCTTTCTCTCGTGCCTGAAACTTGTCATAGCTTTGAGTGACAAAGCTGTTTCTGTGAGGAATACCCACCTTTGGTTCTTAACACTTGCGAGGAATGTTTGGTTAGCTGAGAGGTCAACATTGGTTATGCAGATTTGAAGGTCTCATTCACTGCAAACGAGTGGATTTGACGACAGTCTCTTGCTGGGAAAAACGCAACACAAGAAAGAGTCTCTTCCCGACTGACGGAAACCATTAATGACTTCATTCTTGCAAAAATTTTCCTTACGCAAGTCTATGTTTGCATTAGTGTTATGCAAGTAACATACGCCTTACGTAAAGGACACAGAGCTGTTAAAAAAAACTAGCAATTCGGAATTATCAGTTGGTGATGGGCGATGTGGCACTGGGATAAGTTTTCGTCGGAACCCTTCCGTTTTTCCCTATCAATATTCTTCAGCTACTCAGTCTGGGACACGGACAATGGGCCCACTAATGGCCGCGGTTTCGTGCAGACAATTTCACCCCTTCGCAACAACACGAAACCACTTCGGAGCTGAATTTACTAGTTTTATCAGAACGTGTGCTTTACGTATTTTTCCTCTTAGAAATATGTTCTGTGCGTGTATTTTGACCGCTGTTGAGGAGGATATTTGGGCCTAGGAGAGAAGACGATGGGGCATGGAGAAAACTGCATAATGACGAGCTTAAAAATCTGTACTCCTTCCCCAGTATTGTCAGGGTGATTAAGTCGAGAAGAATGAGATGGGCTGGGCATGTAGCGCGCATGGATGGGACAAGAGGTGTGCACCGGGAATTGGTTGGGAAGCCTGAGGGGAAGAGACCTCTGGGGAGACCTAGACGTAGATGGGAGGATAATCTCAGGCGGGATCTATGGGAGATAGGAGTTGAAGGAGACTGGATTTTGTTGGCCCAGGACAGGGACCGGTGGAGGGCTTTGGTTAATTCGGTGATGAACCTTCGGGCTCCGTAAGCCATCTGGTTGGTTGGGTCCACTATTTGGGAAGCCTGAGGGGAAGAGACCTCTGGGGAGACCTAGACGTAGATGGGAGGATAATCTCAGGCGGGATCTATGGGAGATAGGAGTTGAAGGAGACTGGATTTTGTTGGCCCAGGACAGGGACCGGTGGAGGGCTTTGGTTAATTCGGTGAAGAACCTTCGGGCTCCCTAAGCCATCTAGTTAGTTAGTTAGTAACAAAGGGATTGTGTGTTCGGATCCTGTTCGAGGCGTAGGAATATGTCTGAATATTTCTGTGGCGTGTTGTCTTGTGTAGACAGAGGCTGAACCCTGTCCAAGGACTTCTAAATTTTTATAAGGATTCATAATTTCAGAAGTAGTTGTGTAAAAACTATAAGACGAGGGAGGAGAATAAGATCTGAGGATCTTGGAGATCTTATCTCTTCGCAGAACTTGTAGACTGAAATTGCTACGTCTCCATCTAGAGACTCGGTTAAGAAGAACTGGCGAAGATTGCTTCTGCACTCTTTAGGCTGCAGACTTGTGCTTTA